ATTTGCAAGGGTGGGGTTGGACGTAGATAGATGACTGACCAAGAAAATTGGCCTCTGAACAGCGATGTATAGAACTAAAACATCAGACGTACTTAACAAATAAAGAAAGCGAAGGGAGACCTATATTGATAAACGCAGGGAAACGTATTTAACAAGAACAAAAAATCAGACGAAGAAGGGTGGGGTTGGACGTAGATAGTTGACTGACCAAGATCAGTTGGCCTCTGAACAGCGAGGTAAAGAACTAAAACATCAGGACTATTTACCAAATGAAGGAAAGCGAAGTAAGACTTACATTGATAAAAGTAGAAAAACGTATTCAACAAAAACAGAAGGGAAAAATATCAGACGAAGATTTGAAAGGGTGGGGTTGGACGTAAGAAGCTGACTGACCAAGAACAGTTGGCCTCTGAATTCGGGGGGTTAGTTTAGTTTCTTACTCAGGGGTTAAAACCCTTGAATGAGACACTAAACTAACCCTCCCGAAGGGGAGTTAGTTTAGCGTGTTACTTAAGATTTCAAAAAGCAAGCAACCCCCCAGAAGGGGGGTTGGTCAATTGTTTTAACCCTCAATTCGGGGCGGTTAGTTTAGTTTCTTACACAAGGTTGGTGGCGTTTTACAAACTTGACCAACCCTCCCTAGGAGCTCCGAAAGGAGCGCCCTGCTCTATTAATATAAAATGTTTGATGAATTGATTGAAGTCTTTAAAATTTTCACACTGTAATTAATAGACAGCAGATAATTCCACGCTGGTGATGTTTTAATTGTTTCGTTGTTTGTTGTCGGTACCGATGAAATTTACTCGTAGACTATTTTGGAGCATTGAGTAACTTTGGAATGGTTTTGACTTGGTTTCAATGAATGCTATGTGGCTATTTTCTTCATTATTTGGTTTTTCCATTCTCGGAAAGCATGCGTAATCTTTCATGGACTCAGTGCATAGCTGAATTGAGCTTCAGACCGGATGTTTAATTCCGAAGTGACGATGCTTGTTTATATCCAAGAGTGAGGATGTGTTTTGCACTTTCCTGGAATGTGCACTGTACCATAAAAGACGACGAAAGCTTTTGCAGTGTGCCAAGACGACTGGTACGGTGATCCACGGTTTGCTTATTTCGTGCTGGATGACGCCTGCGTCACCTGTCATCCTGTGACGCAATAAAGACGCGAGGCTTGTGAACCTCGGGAAGGCCTCTCTGTGTGTACGGGCTAAATCTGTCAAGCAGTCACGTAACAATACGAATCTCGCCGAACGTCCCTGCAATGTTCTCATCGCCACCGATTCGAGCTCTGGATGTCGGGGTTCAAGTTTCGGCCCGTGACCGGCACTGACTGAGGTTTTCCGCAGTTTTATTTATGTGGACGCATATGCCGGGGTAGCACCTTAAAGTAGACCACGAGCGCTTCCTTTCATATTCCTTCCAATTCATTATTCTTTAATTATGTAATTGTTATTATTCAACTCTGTGTAGGCTTAGTCTCAGCAGCTGGCAGGGTCGTAAATAAAAGTAAATATTTGTGTTACGGAATTCCTTAAAGACACTGAAAATATCGCGGTGAATTTAGTTCTTAGCAGATTGCCGAGGAAAGTGTTTGGACGCAGGAGAGCTGAATAATCATTAGCATGGGGACAATTAGGCTACGTATGAGAAGCTTCATAGTTTGTAGGTGACCCATCATAAGGGTCTTCAGAGGAAGCAGTCATACATATGAATTGTTTTTACTGTTCTTGTTTGTACATATTTGCGGATATCGTCTGTAAGCAGCAGTATCGTCTGAAAATTGAGTAGCAGAAATATTTTATGGGTGTGATGCTCTGTATTCCCACCTTGAGATCTGCAGACTTTGTATGGAAATTTTAATGTATAGTTGGTATGTGTTCATATGTAAATTATGCATGTATGTTGTCTTCCGTATCGACGAAATGATTGATTTAAGAAAATTACAATTTCTTCGCAGAACTTCCTTGTTTATTCTCCTTCAACTTGATGTTGATTATCATAATGATATCTGACGACAGTTCGCCAGGTGCAGGAAGTATTCTGTGTCGAAACAGCGGAGAGTTGAAGTCTGTCTTGTAGATGTATTGCCAGCATCACTGCTAATTGGCCGGGTCCTGAGTGGAAACTGGGTCATGCAGGATACAGACGTCGGGAAGCTGTTCTCCATGAGCGGGCTAACTCTGCCAGTGCGTGAGGTGTGTCAAACTGAGATGAGATCGGCCGTCTGGCTAGTTGCTGTAATTCGGGGTTTTTCAAACTGCGGCCCGCACATATGTTTTGTGTGGTCTTCATACGTTTTCTGCACTGTCACTCTGGTTAAAAAAAATGGTTACACGATGTCATGTTTTGTTAATTTTGTCGGTATTGACAGTAATGTCTCCGTCCGTATTGCGTTACGCCCGCTGTTGTTACATCTTCAGGAACACACGACCTCTTCTATTTCCTTCACACGGTTCCAGCTGTTTCCTGTCGATGTGTATCTTGTTGTACATGGAAGTACTTTTGCAGTTACCGAATGTCTCGGCTCAGTGGTTGACGTTCCTATTTCCTATTTTGGAAATATTGGGTTCAATCCGGAACGGAGACAGGTTGTCTTCTGTGAGTTTTTCGTGGTTTCTTTCAGTTGCTCTATGTAAATGCTGGGATAGTGCCTTAAAGTAGCCCACGATCGTTTCTTTCCAGTTTATTATTAATCATGCTATTACTCGACGCTATGCACACTGAGCTACTATCAGCGTCGTTAAATAAACCACAATTAAATGTGAATTGGCCCATCAGCATAAGCCGAAGAAGAACAGGATTCAAACTAAGGCAGAAATAAAAGGAGCCGAGAGAATGGGTGGAGTTTGACGAAAGGGGCACAAAAAATCGACCTAGGAAAGAAGTAAGAATGCTACGAAAATGAGCGAAGTATTTCAAAGGGAATCGGAGACAAGCGGAGAAGGAACAACGCTGAGAGAAGTCAGACATATTGTGTGTGTGTAATGTTACAGAGTTTTGTGATAAAAAGAAGAAAGAGGTTCTCAAAAGTCTCCCGTGTGAAGGAATGAAATGGTTTGCTTTTGTGGCCGTACCAAATTGCCAAGCCACAGAAGTTAATACTAGTGTCTTGTCTGGATAAAAATACCAACCACTACGGATATCAGACATCAAACATGGACTTATAATTTTCGTAATCAGTCTTAGTTAATGTGTCAGGTATCAGGACGGATAATATCTGCGGCCTTTCCTTAGTGTAAAGCAGTTACTGCAAATCCCACTACACGTATCTTTGCAGAACCAGAATTCTTCGTAATTTGTTAAATGTCGTCATATCTAAAAATGTTTCATCATTTTCAGAAATATTGTCTTAGACGTCAGTTGCCCTATTTTTTTTACGATGAGGTATTTTAGAGAACCGATAAAAATTGATTTGAACTTATTTAAGTTAGAGGTTATATATTGGCGCGATGCGGGTAAATCGAAATTTAATTCACGATAGAACGTATACTCTAAAGGGTTGA